TTTTTTTTTTTTTTTTTTTTTTTTTTTTTTTTTTTTTTTCCTGCAGATATCAGCAGAATCCTGTCCTGCTTCTGATCTGTTGGTCAATAATTCTGACAGTGGTCAAACTCAAGCTGGCGAGGCTGTTGAATCTAAGTGTGATACCAGGGTGAATTCCAATCTTGGGAACCATGATTGTTTAATGGCTATGAATGACACCCCTGATACTATGTAAGTCTGGAAATTTAATCATTGCAACTTACTAAGTATCAATCAAAATAAGAAGGTTGGATGTTTTAGTGTACTTTATTTATTTTGTATGACTTGTACCAATATCTAGATATCTGGTAATGCAGTAGAACAGAAGCTTTACATGATTCTTATGTCCATCCACTTATACTCCTGAAAAATCAAGTTTTGTCCAAGATCAATGCTGACAAGGAAGACGCTTTACCATGCGTTTCCCAAAATCAAAATTCACCCTCTACTGAGTCGAGTTGTGACTCAGAAAAAACTAAGCTCATAAACATGTCTCCAATTGATGAATTGGAAGGAGAACTGGTTTACTATCAGCATCACCTACTTTGCAATGCAGTTTCAAGAAAACACCTAAGTGGTCTCTTTCTTTATCCTCTGCATTTAGGGATTTTACATCTTCATCTTGCAGTGCCAAATTTGTTAACTTTGAGATGATTTTTTTTTACTGTGTAGATGATTTGATTTCAAAGGTGATCAAGGTTCTTCCAGAAGAGATTGAGACACTAAGAAAACGAAACTGGGATGCTGTGTTGGTGAGCCAATATCTTTCTGAGCTTAGAGAAGTCAAGAAACAGGGGAGAAAAGAGAGAAGGCACAAGGAAGCCCAGGCTGTGCTTGCAGCTGCAACTGCTGCTGCTGCAGCTTCTTCCAGGCTTTCATCTTTCAGGAAAGATACACTTGAAGAATCCGCTCACCATGAGGTAGTTAGTTGACTCTCATTTTGTTGTCTCAATGAAATGAAGTTATATTGATTCTTATATTGTGTTCAGAATAAGTTGAAAATAAAGGCTTTTGGAGGGAGATCTGCAGTTCATGCACAACCAAAGGAAACACACCCGAAATTGTCTGTAACGTGGACCCCACCTGAAATGAACATTGATTCTTCACCATCAACTTTAGATTACAAAGGGCATTCTAGGGTTTGTGACGTTTGCAGACGGGAGGAAACAGTTTTGAATCCAGTTATTATATGTTCTAGTTGCAAGGTCAGCTTAACCTTAAATACCGGAAATGAATAGTTTTAATCTTTTTTCTATATTTTCCTGTTTATCCTGCTAACTGTATTTTAATATTTTATCTGGTAACAGGTTGCAGTGCACATAGATTGTTATCGTAGTGTGAAAGATTCTACGGGTCCATGGTTTTGTGAGTTATGTGAAGATTCATCGTCTTCTAGAAGCAGGGGGGTCCCATCTTTCAGTTACTCAGAGAAGCCGTCTCGTGTGGCGGAATGTTGCTTATGTGGTGGCACTACTGGTGCTTTTAGGAAGTCAACTGATGGTCAATGGGTCCATGCCTTCTGTGCTGAGGTAATATTCTTTGATTATGATTCTTACTTGTGTTCCTTTTCTATTATATGGTGATTAATAGTTCTTTTTCGATTTTGTTGTGTAGTGGGTTCTAGAATCAACTTTCAGAAGGGGGCAGCTGAAACCTATTCAGGGCATGGTATGTGTAGTGTATAATAAATGTTTATTTAGAGGAAACTAGTGCACCTTTCAAGTGAATAAAGGTCCTGCTGGATATGACTAGTTTAATGCAAGAAATAGCAACATACTTTTTATACAATTTTCGTTGCTTAATTGGGTTAACTTTCCAAAGAAAAATGTCCTAATAGGAAAAAGGTTGAAAGTAAAATGCTGCAGTAGGGAGAAACAAAAGCAGATTGCTAAGATACACAAATAAATGAAACTACATTGACTTTAGTCCCTAGATATTATAATTTGTGTTGTCTTATGTTCATGTCATGTGACAATGCCAGGAGACAATCTCCAGAGGGAACGATGTTTGCCTTGTTTGCAGCCGCAGAGTTGGCGCCTGTATAAAGGTTGGTGAGATCAATACGAGTTTCTTCCATCTCATTTTTTTTTTATTTTTTATTTTTTATTTTTATTAAAACTTGTTTATTTTAAATTAATTGTGTCCTATAGTGCAATTATGGTCACTGTCAAAGCACATTTCATCCCACTTGTGGCAAGAGTGCTGGCTTCTTCATGAACGTGAGAACTAGTGGTGGAAAAATACAACACAAGGCTTACTGTGAGAAGCACAGCCAGGTGGAGAGGACAAAGGTGATAATATATTATTATTAATTTTTTTTACCATAATATCAATCAATGTCGACCTTGTTATTCTGTTTCTATTTTTTGATACTAGTTTCTAAGTATACCTTATTTGTTGTTTATTCTAGGCCGAGACTCAAAAACATGGAGTTGAAGAATGGAATTCTCTCAAGAAAGTCAGGGTAAGTTACATTGCTGTTTATAAAATACATTATTTGAATCCAAAATCATAATTTAAAAAAAAAAAATCGTCTTGCAGGTTGAATTGGAGAGATTACGTCTCATCTGTGAAAGAATCATCAGACGTGAGAAATTGAAGGTAAAGCCACATTGTTTGCTGCTTATACATACACACATACACTAACTAATGAGATTGTGTTATTGTATTGCAGCGTGAATTGGTGATTTGTTCACATGACATGCTTCGTTGGAACAGAGAGTCGGTATGTTCATCTTCATCATCATGTATAATACCCCCCCGTGGGGTTTGCACTGGCACTGGTTTTCTGTCACCAGATGTTAGTTCAGAATCCGCTACAACTTCCTTAAGAGGAGGATACACAAACAGCTACAAATCATGCAGTGAAACCATCATCCAAAGATCCGATGACATCACAATCGACAGCACCACCACAGTCGCCGGAAAACGCCGAATTAGGTTTCCCATTGCGATGGCGGCAATGGACAACGACCAAAAAACAGACGACAGTTCGACCTCTCAAATCTTTACACAGGCTCCTTCTGTGAGTGTGAATGTAAGGCCGATGCTTTCCGGAAAACAAATCCCAATTAGACCCTCATCTGTGGTTTCCCTGACTACCTCTACTGATGATGGGGACAAGTTTTTCCGGCATGGAAAGGTAAATATAAAATATTTTTTGTTGTTGTTGTTGTAGTACAAAAGACGTAAATGCCCTTCTCTTGATACTTGGAAATTTGAAATTGTGGTGGACAGCATACAGAGACTTTTGAGAAAGAGCTGGTGATGACATCAGATCAAGCAACCATGAGGAACCAACGCTTGCCAAAAGGATTTGTTTATGTTCCAATTCGTGTCCTCTCAAATGAGAATGAGGAAACAGTTCCTGCTGCTGTGGCCCCCACACCCAAAGTAGCATCAGCATCGTCTGAGGAAAATTCAGGACAAGATGGATAGATATATAAGACCATTTGGGTCATCACAGGTTTTTTTTTTGGACAACTTATCTCGTGCGGTTTGCAGATGAAGGGAAAAGTTTTTTTTATTCTGATGATGTTGTATATTCATTCTCATTGGGAAGAGAGAAGAGAAGAGAAGAGAAGAAACCTGTACAGTATTATGATGAAGTGAGTGATGAGTGGGTTTTGTTGATTTGTTGTAGTGGTGGTGGTACTTTTAGATTTTTTTTTTGGTTGGTTGGTTATTGTAATGTTATAGAAAGATATTGGCTGCAGGTTGCAGTGCAGTTGTAAAGTGGTGTACATAGAGAGATAAGATGATACTAGTGCTATAGTGATCAGATCATAGCAATTGCACAACATAAGAAAAACAAAAAGAGAGCATTTCTTTTTCTCTTGTTTCTCCTCCACATTGTTTCTCAATGGTTTAATTTGACTGAAGCAGCATAGGTTTTCTGGGGCTATCTTTTCATCATCCATTCATGTCCTCTGAATGGAAAACAGATTGTGATTGAATCTCTTCACACGTTGTTTTAAAGTTTTTGTCATCCAACACCTCACCAAGTTCAATATATGATTTGGAAATCTCCGATACAAACCATTGTCAGCAAATTATGTGTTGGGTTTGTGTTGCTTAATATTGTCTGGTTTATGTCACCACCTCTAGTTTATCCATTTTAGATTAAAGTACGCATCAATCCAGTTTGAGATTTTATGAAACAGGAGAAAACACATTTACATTTATTCTGAGCTTGCCTTTATACATACATACACATTTACACCCCTAATCTCCAATTGCTTCTCACTAAAGCCTATACACATTCCTTTGATCATTTGCTTCATTTTAATTACTTCAATATACTAACATCGACATTACTTGCTGATCTATACTCAATACACAATCCTAATTCAATTTTGGAAAATTTTCTAGATAACCAACAAACTTATATATCGATGTCGCCTCTCAATGCCAATTGGTGGTTTACACGAATAACACACCCGACTTCAAGTTCAACACTGACTCACAATCTGAGGTTCCCCAAAGTACTTGCTAACATGGTAAGTTTCATGATCCAAACATGTCGCTGTCACATGATACTTCTTAGGGTCAAAGTGGCATACCCCAATTGGAATTGCCAAAAATCAACCTTGAGCGGATATATCGTTGTCCTTAAAAAACATCATTAAATTCTTTTCAAATGCAAATTTATATAAAAATTCATCAATCACATATTTAAAGTCCATTAATCCAATTTTATATCAAGTTTATCAACAAGAATAGCCGAATTTATTCGATTTTGACCTTAATTAACTTTGAAACTCTTTTATCTACGAAGCAACTCACTAGAAGATGTTAACATACAAGTAGAGAATGAAGCAAATAACAGTCTTTTTTTCCTTTATCTTCAAATTCCCTCATTAATACAACATCAAATCAAACACCCCTTACCTTAAGCATTACTTCAGTGTAAGATGGTGCATCATCCTTCTTTGGGCTCAACCCACCCGTACTAAACTTGCGCACCAACATGGTGAAACACGGTACTAATATAACATATAATATGCCCAAGATAAACGGGGCCATAACGAACCACCCCAACAACTGCACATATTTGTCAACAAGTTATCAATCAAATTAATAAGACAAAAATTGTAAGAATGGTCCCTGTGGTATGTCTAAAATTGCCACTTTGGGCCAAACAGGTTTGGACTAGCACCAATGGTCCAAAAGTTTCCATTTTGTTGCCACTTTGGTCCAATTTACTTTAATTTTCTTTGTAATGACGATTTTACCTTTGGATTTTATTTTTTCAGTTTTATTTATTTATTTAAATACTTTTATAATTAAAAAGAAAATCGCTCTCTCTCTCTCTCTCCAAATACCCATCTTCTTCTTCCTGAAAATTGTCCAGATGAACAAAAAAACACCAAGAACAAAACAACACCCATAACAAATTGTTGAACTCGTCGGTTGTCAATGGAGATGGAGAAAAGAGAATGAGAAATCATATCTAGGGTTAGTCCTCTCCATCTATTTTCAGATATGTTCGTCTTTTCCATATGTTTTCATATATGTTTGTGTTCTTCATCACGATCGGTTTACAGCACCACCCCCTTCTCAGTTCATCTTTTCCATCTGTGGCTCGATTTTCACTATCACCGGAAAACCCACCCCGAACACACCCTCCAGTACCACGGTAAATCTTCAACATATGGTCTATAGACCACAATCAACCAACAAACGCAATCAACGACCACCGCCTCCGGTACCATGGTTGAAGTTTGCTTAGGGCACACCGTTACAAGAGCACACCAATCCTTGGACTCAAGAGTGCGCCGTTACAGTGCTACTTAATCTATCTCTCCCCGACGATAACAAACCACTGATTGCCAACGCTGAAGTTGTGAAATCCCTAATTTATTTTGTAAAAACCGGGACTGTCAATCAGAGCTATTCCTCCATTGGGATTTCAGATCGAAGCTCCCGCAACAAAAACCTAACCCTAAAGATTCAGGCGGCAACACATAGATCTAAGCTAGGGTTGGTAGTGGTGTCGGCGACGACTTTGTCAATCTCCTTCTCCAATGACGAACCTGAGCAACGATTATGTTTCAGATTAATTGTAGAACCTGTGCAACGATTTTTCATTTTGATTTTGGAGATTTTACTTCAATTGAGTGTGGAATCATGGTGCCTGAACAAGACGAGGGTGAGGATTGAAAGCAAAGTTTCGCCGGGGGAACTGGGTGGCCTGAATGATAACAAACTTTGAGGCAGAGTTTTCAGACTTATGGTTTCAACATGTAGTGATGGTGATGGCAGTGTTGGGGCGGCGGTGGTGTCATTGAAAGACTGTGGGGGGAGCAGAGAGAGAGAGAGAAGGAGAGAGAGAGAGAGAAAGAGAGAGAGAGAGATGTATCTTCTTTTTTATTTTCTTTTAAATATAAAAGTATTTAAATAAATAAATAAACTTAAAAAACAAAAACCAAAGGTAAAATTGTCATTATAAAAAATTTTAAAGTAAATTGGACCAAAGTGGCAATAAAATGAAAACCTTTGGACCATGAGTGCTAGTCCAAACCCTTTTGGCCCAAAGTGGCAATTTCGACGACCATTCTTGCAATTTTGTCAATTAATAAAGCCGCATCTGCTACACCTGACATGACATGACAGAACAGAACTAGAGTGGATGGGACAAAAAATTGCAAGTTTTGTCTCATTGACATTAGTATCAGTATTAGTATCAGGCGATCTGTCTTGTCTTGTGTAACAAGTGGGACCTAAGGGAATACGATTACAACGTTGAACTTACCGCGTGAGCAATGCTTAGTAGGATCTCCTTTGAAGCTTTGCCGGTCAATACCTTCTTTAAAGCGTCGGAGGTTAAAGAGAAATGATCTCCACCCGTGAGATATTCACCAAAGCGTAAGAACACTATCATCAAACTATACACATATATCAGAACACTGCATATCATAGCTTTTAACAATTATCAACTACTTTCATTGTCCTATAGAAATTGTAACACTTTCTCTTTTTGCCATGTTCATATAGGTTGTAATTTTCCATTCGTGGAAACTTTTCAAGTTAACATTACCTGTTTGCCCATTATCCTTATTACAATTTAGACTGGTAGTACTAATTTGGTTTGTATTAGATACTTGACAAATAGTCAAACAATTTTATTAGACTATTAGCAAGAAATGTCCCTCTATCAAGATTAAGAGCATTCCAAACACCTCATCAATTCCATTACAAGAAGTGTAAGAGACAGATTCAAATAAATAACCTTTTTTTGCAAAGTAATTGTTTGGATAAATTAATAATAATACTTGACCTTAGTTCTATTGGAGTAGCAACAAAATTGGCCAGCATCACAGTGGGGGCATTGATAGAAGTTCCAAGCACTGCTATAGCCAGTACACAGAGAAACATAGTCACTCCTGTTATGAGGAAAAAACACACATCATAATTAGGATTTGATTTCACTACATAATCATTAAAATTGAAATTGATTTATTTCTGTAAAAGTTGAATCAAGAGCATACCAACAATTGGGAACACTCCACATGTAATGCCAAGAGCTGTAGAGAATGCCAATTGCTTAGGCTCTGCTCCCCTAAAACCAAAGTGCAATATTATCAATAATTTTGACACCAATACCTGTCATCTTTGAGAGCTGAGTATAAAAGTCTTCAAAGATTACCCTAATTTTGCAAAGAGATTGTTTCTACGATGAGAATCATTGATTTCCCATGGATCAATTCATTTTGTCAATTGCAGCAAGGGTATAAGTCTTTGAATTCGTTCTAAATTTTAATCTTTAACAGTACTTGTAATTCATATATAGACCTTGAAATCAAACACATTTCCTGTCAATTTGGGGATATTATCTTCAAAACTCATGCATATCAAGGATATTTGGGAGTTCAGTTACAAAATGACAGCTATAATTGAAATTTAAGAATATTTACTGTGTTGAGATCTTACAACGTCAAGTTACATCTAGCTAAATAAAGCAAAACAGCACAACATCAAGATAATCTGTAACAGATTTCTTCGCAAACAAATAGAAATGATAACATAAACGCAAAAAGAAAGAGCAGAAAATTAACCTGCTAAGGATTTCCACAAAGGGCTCGACGACCTTCTTGTTTAACCATGTGCCGATTCCTTGTAATCCAGACCTTCTAAGCAGATCCGCCATTGCTAAAAACTAATATAATTTATGCTAGTTCGTTTTGCTTTGAAGTTCTTCTTAGATCGATGAATCAAACATGAGACCAAATGTTTGTTTCTTAATCAAAACACGCGGTTTTCAATCAAACGACTGATTGACTTTAAAAATGATCGCGACGAAAGCGTCGAATTTGAATTCAGATTGGATGAACCGACTTCTTCTATACCTACAATTTCACAAAGAACAAGAATATAGTAAACGTAAACCTCTCTGTAAAGTCGGTCGATTTCTTTGAATCTTTTCTCGATCCAGTTTGTTTTGTGTTTGGATTTTCTTTATTTATTCTTTGTTGCTTTTTTCATTAATAAATCAATAATCGAATCTTTGCGTCACATACCATTGGGCCATAATGTTCGTTGGCAGACGAAAATATTTTAGTTTTATGTTTAGCCCTTATATTTGTGCCATGTTGACATATAATTTGAAAGTTGGAGCGCATAGAATGCTAAAACAAATTTAGCGATTTAAAACAAAAAACTAGGAGTAGTTTGTTAGCTAATTATTCCATGTATTATATGAGTTAATTTAAAAAAAAGTTAAATATAAAGGTTAAAATATTTGAAAACTTTGAATTTATAATAAAATAAAAAAAATAATAAATTATTATAATGAAATTTTTTTTTATCTTTTAAATTTTAACAAATAATTTAAATAAAGAAAAGAAACTAATGAGCTTTAATTTTGAGAATTTTGAAATTTAAAGTTAAGTTTATTAATGAA